ATATAATATGATAGGGTGATAATAACTGATGTTTTTATGGCCTAATTCCCAAATTTCTATCAGTTTTATATACCATTTTTGGTCAAAACTAGGAGTTTATTGATGAATAAGCAAGTAGCTTACTCGGTTGCAAGTGTGGGGCAAAAAGTGGTACTTATTAAACCCAAAAGCACCGCGCTGCCATAAACATCTATCTAAGACTAGACCTTTTGCAGGGTATGTTTTTACTTTTTTTACAAAGTATTCATTGGCTTAGGCATGTAAATAGAAATGGATGGTGGAGTGTCAAAATAATAATTTCAAACCTTCAAAACATTTATTGTATTATTATCAATATCAACCGTACATAAAGGGGACACGAGCTCTGTTAACAATCACCATCGCTAGCCTAGGCCTATGCCTGCCTGCTGTGCGAAAGCCTGTAAATAAGAGTTACTATATATACTGTACTGTACTATAAATATATTAGTATAATTTTATGACCATATATTTTATTGTTTGGTTAACCTATAATATTATTAACCTATGAAACATCTATGTCGCTGTCAGCAGACAAATCTAAGGTCAATTTATCCTTGAAAAAGTCTTCCCTTTCTATAAGACGTTCAGCGCTTGATGTGGTGTCATTGTGCGAAGTCAGGCGATTCAAAACTTCGCTTCTTCTCAACAGTTTGACCTTTGAACGCATTTTTTCAAATAGAAACCTCATTGGATGATGAGATATTCTGAAAAGGGATTTCCCAAAGTTTATGTAGACGTTTTTCACGACACGCTACAGTTCGTATAACAGAAGTTATAGCGGGTTGAATAGCCAGGGCCGTTTAGGGCGGTCTGGGACTAATGCGCAGAGAGGTTTGAGCGTCTAGGTCCTAAATGGGTTAAATTAGTTGTACATATTGCACATATTGCACATAGACTTGCACATACAGTATTAGAATGCAGGATCCTCATTACATATTAGTCTCAGACACACTCTCTGACACACTGATAGAGATTGTTTTGAGCATGGAATCTATATTATACCTAGTTCCAGATATACTGCTTGCATGACTGGTTTACCGAAGGTAGTTAGAATGTGGCAAATAAAATGATCTGTAGATAGTCGTAAGGAGTGTGTTCAGAAATACCTTGGTGTGAGGGTTGGTTAAAAGTAAAGGGGAAAATATTTTGGCGTAAATGGGGTAGAAGTGGGGATTGTTTTTTGAATTTTGAATACAGTAAGTACTGCATAATTTCATTGTATTTTAAAAATTAAAATTTCTTGTTTGAATTTTTTTCTGAAAAAAAAAAATTGTTAATCTAACTTCGAATTTTTCAATGTTTTATTTTTTTACTTTATTTTTTTTGTTTACTCAACATTTTGGATTCTTTGTTTTGACATATCAAGGTATTCTTAGAATTTTTTTATAGGAAGATCCAAGGGATTCACATGGGCATGGTGGTTGATTTTTAGCCAAAATGACCCAATTGCTTATTTTTGTTTTTATCATTTTTATACATCAATGGTGAATGATGAATAGGCCATCTCATAGCACTAAGGTCTGTTTGATGTTAGTGTATTCATAC